TATAATTATATCTTATAATATCTTATAATTATCAATATCTTATAATTATCTTATAATATATATATAATTGTGAATATCTGTGACGAGCAGTGATGACGCTCAATGGGATTAATGATGAGGATGATTTTCACACTTTATTGACTTCTCTCAAAGTCATACTGGTAGGTAATAGTACTTGTGATGATGACTGATGATTTCGGCAGCCTGGCAAAGGGGTTAGAGGGTCCGTCCGGTCAATACACTGTGGTTCTGGAATCGTAAAAGGGGTTAAGAATCGCTTCGCTACAGTTTCCAATAGAGTGACTTAATACATATATTCCGGTCACTAATATTCGGGTTCCTTCACTGTCGTAGCTAGTTCTAGCAAACTAGTCAACTATGATGACGTAAACAGGTGTATACTAGCTAACCAATTTCAGTCAAATATTTAGGACTATGTTTGTCATATTCAAGCAAACATATACAGTCAACAGTTAGGACAGGGTAAAGCAGTTTGGTCGTTCCCGCCTTAAAACATCTTGTCTGCTCTCAGAACTACCCGTAAGGAACCTTATTAGACCAAGTAACGACTCCTAGGTAACGTCACCTGACAGCATAGACGGGAGCCCACCCATCCCTTGCTCCCCCCCCCCCCAATCAAAAACCCGTACAATCACCTGTAGCTCAATGTATCAGGAACCGCCTCATATAATGGTAGGAAAACCAAGTGAAGATAACCGTATAGTTAATATGTGGGAGAGTATATCATACCCCATAACAGCATATCCTGCCTCTAGCAAAAACAGCATATCCTGCCTCTAGCAAAAACAGCATATCCTGCCTCTAGCAAAAACAGCATATCCTGCCTCTAGCAAAAACAGCATATCCTGCCTCTAGCAAAAACAGCATATCCTGCCTCTAGCAAAAACAGCATATCCTGCCTCTAGCAAAAACAACATATCCTGCCTCTAGCAAAACAGCATATCCTGCCTCTAGCAAAACAGCATATCCTGCCTCTAGCAAAAACAGCATATCCTGCCTCTAGCAAAACAGCATATCCTGCCTCTAGCAAAACAACATATCCTGCCTCTAGCAAAACAGCATATCCTGCCTCTAGCAAAACAACATATCCTGCCTCTAGCAAAACAGCATATCCTGCCTCTAGCAAAACAGCATATCCTGCCTCTAGCAAAAACAGCATATCCTGCCTCTAGCAAAAACAATATATCCTGCCTCTAGCAAAAACAGCATATCCTGCCTCTAGCAAAAACAGCATATCCTGCCTCTAGCAAAAACAACATATCCTGCCTCTAGCAAAACAACGTATCCTGCCTCTAGCAAAAACAGCATATCCTGCCTCTAGCAAAAACAGCATATCCTGCCTCTAGCAAAACAGCATATCCTGCCTCTAGCAAAAACAACACATCCTGCCTCTAGCAAAACAGCATATCCTGCCTCTAGCAAAAACAGCATATCCTGCCTCTAGCAAAAACAACACATCCTGCCTCTAGCAAAAACAACACATCCTGCCTCTAGCAAAACAGCATATCCTGCCTCTAGCAAAACAGCATATCCTGCCTCTAGCAAAAACAACACATCCTGCCTCTAGCAAAACAGCATATCCTGCCTCTAGCAAAAACAACACATCCTGCCTCTAGCAAAACAGCATATCCTGCCTCTAGCAAAAACAGCATATCCTGCCTCTAGCAAAACAGCATATCCTGCCTCTAGCAAAAACAACACATCCTGCCTCTAGCAAAAACAACACATCCTGCCTCTAGCAAAACAGCATATCCTGCCTCTAGCAAAAACAACACATCCTGCCTCTAGCAAAACAGCATATCCTGCCTCTAGCAAAACAGCATATCCTGCCTCTAGCAAAAACAACACATCCTGCCTCTAGCAAAAACAGCATATCCTGCCTCTAGCAAAACAGCATATCCTGCCTCTAGCAAAAACAACACATCCTGCCTCTAGCAAAACAGCATATCCTGCCTCTAGCAAAAACAGCATATCCTGCCTCTAGCAAAAACAACATATCTTGCCTCTAGCAAAAACAGCATATCCTGCCGCCCCCCTCTCTGGCAGCTCCAGAGACAGGTCAGCGAACTCAAGCAGCCTCACCACCCCCCCCCCACCCCAACCCAACCCCTCAACCCAAAACCTCTCGAAAATAACGTTAAAATGTTCCCCAAGAAGGATAACTCGGGCCGGAGCTCCACGAACTGTGCGGAGGAGGAGGTCCCCGGCGGCGCCCGCCCTCTGGTGGCCATTATTGATTTGCTCCAACCTCAGACGACCATGAGGTGGGGCATGAGGAACAGGAGGGAGGACGGGACGGTAGATGAGGAAAAGGTGGAACAGGAGGAGGAGGAAGACAGTGATGGTGTAAAGGTTATATTATAAAAATGTTACAAAAATGATAGAAGTTTCAGAGGATATGCTGAGTCAGAGCGAGAAGTGGCTACTCGATTTATACCCCTGCAAGTGGTGTACGTTCACACACGTGCACACGTACACACGTACACACGTACACACGTGCGCACGTACACACGTACACACGTACACACGTACACACGTACAGACGTACACACGTACACACGTACACACGTACACACGTACACACGTACACACGTGCACACGTACACACGTACACACGTACACACGTACACACGTACACACGTGCACACGTACACACGTGCACACGTACACACGTACAGTGACTGTTGTGCCCCACAGCAGTAGTCTTCCAGGCGCCCACTTCTAACAAAACCTGGAGCTGCTCCAGCAACCATTTATACCAACGCTTCACACACCTGAGTCTCGCCCCTTACTGGTACAGGTGTTGAACAGTTGTGTTGAAGGATTAGAGGAGGCAGAGGAGCAACTTGAAGGATTAGAGGAGGCAGAGGAGCAACTTGAAGGATTAGAGGAGGCAGAGCAGCAACTTGAAGGATTAGAGGGGGCAGAGGAGCAACTTGAAGGATTAGAGGAGGCAGAGGAGCAACTTGAAGGATTAGAGAAGGTGAAGGTGTCTGAGACCCACCAGAACGCTGCTTCAACTTCCTCCATTACCTCAAGATGATTTGAGGCAATGGAGCTATATTGGGAAACATATAATGGATAAATTAGGTAAGTGTGTGGCGACATGGAGTCTTGGGAAATCTTATCTGACGACCCAAATTAAGTTTTATTATAAGAGGTCAATGATCAAGGCGAGGTTAGCTGCCCCCTTCCAGGACTACCAGAAAGCCCTCAACATTATTCAACTTACAGGACTGCTCCTGTGCAACCCTGATGATCCAGCTGTTGGCTCGAACCCTGGTGAGCTGGGCGGGAGAGCACCTAGCAGACAGGAGTCAGAGGGAAGTAATGAGAGATCACTGGTCAGAATTGAGGGGAGTAACGGTTGAATTACTGTTAGGATGAGTTTAATGAAACGGTTGGACTCGTGTCCTTTCACCTGATGTTTCTGTTTACCTAGCGGTAAAACAGGAACCCGGGATTTAGGAAATTGTTGTGGGATGCATTCCGGGCAAAGTCAGTAGTTGGCCTATGTAGGAAGGGAGGGGGAGGCCGACCAAGACAAACTTCCTGTTTCCGAAAATAGAAATTACATACGTCGTGGCCTAAGTGAGGAACTATGATTCTGATTGGCTAATCTTGCAGAGGAAGAGAAGTATTAACTCACCAGAACAGAGAAGTGTTACAGCGTGTAATGGCCATGATGGACACGCTAGAAGGCCTCGGAGCACACCACGAGGGCCAGGGGCGATTAGCACAAGACTAAGAAGGGCAAGACGTCTTGAGGAGCAGTGCAAGACGAGGCCGGAGACGTTGACCGAACACTACCCCGGGCTTGTTAGCACATTGACGCACAAACATCAGCGGCATATTTCATACACACAAACATCAACATCATTAGTGATGTGGTGGAGGCTGACTCAATACACAGCTTCAAGTGTAGATATGATAGAGCCCAATAGGCTCAGGAACCTGTACACCAGTTGTTGACAGTTGAGAGGCGGGACCAAAGAGCCAGAGCTCAACCCCCGCAAACACAACTAGGTGAGTATAGACGATTTTGTCGACCATTCGTGTGAACTTCAAGAACCTGAACAGGAAACTATGACCAGGGAGCCGGTCGGCCGAGCGGACAGCACGCTGGACTTGTGATCCTGGGTTCAATCCCAGGCGCCGGCGAGAAACATTGGGCAGAGTTTCTTTCACCCTATGCCCCTGTTACCTAGCAGTAAAATAGGTACCTGGGTGTTAGTCAGCTGTCACGGGCTGCTTCCTGGGGGTGGAGGCCTGGTCGAGGACCGGGCCGCGGGGACACTAAAAAGCCCCGAAATCATCTCAAGATAACCTCAAGATGACCTGAAGATAACCTCAAGATAACCTCAAGATAACCTCAAGATAACCTCAAGATAACCAACACTAGATTATGTAAATCTCTTCAGGAAGGAAGGGAAACTATCAGCGGAAAGCGCCAAGCATTACCACTATATTAGCATTTGGAAAGGATCAGTATAAGAATTTGGGATGGGACGAAGGGAAGGAATGGTGCCCAAGCACTTGTGGATGGTCGGGGATTGAACGCCGACCTGCATGACGCGCGACCGACGCTCTACCGTCCAGCCCAAGTGGAGGACAGAGTGGGGGGGGGGGGAGAGAGAGAGAGGATAAGTCAGCATGATAATGTCTCCCTCCTCACATCAACAACAACAAGAACACGCAAAAAAAAAAATTCCAACACATAGATCTATCAGTTACATTATGCAGAACACAGCGGGCAGTCACTGACACAGACACGTACACACTCACCAGCACGGACACTCACGTGCACGCTACCTACGTAGAGCAAAGTAGAATAGAGTAGACCAGAGTAGAGTAGAGCGGAGTGCAGCCGCCTAGGTGGCGCAAGCACTCGACGGAATGATGTTTACACTCCAGTAAAAAGCTCCACTCCGGCTCTAAGCTACAAGTTGTGAGGATATTGTGTGTGCTGGCTGGTCCCGATGGCCAGCACGGGCGAACGTAACTCCTCTGCCAATATACGTAACTACTCCACTAACGTACATAACTACTCCACTAACGTACATAACTACTCCACTAATGTACGTAACTACTGCACTAATGAACGTAACTATTGCACTTATGTACGTAACTACTACACTAATGTAGGTAACTACTCCACTAATGTACGTAACTACTCCACTAATGAACCTAACTACTCCACTAATGTACGTAACTACTGCACTAATGAACGTAACTATTGCACTAATGTACGTAACTACTCCACTAATGTACGTAACTACTGCACTAATGAACGTAACTACTGTACTAATGTACGTAACTACTCCACTAATGTACGTAACTACTGCACTAATGTACGTAACTACTGCACTAATGAACGTAACTACCGCACTAATGTACGTAACTACTGCACCAATGTACGTAACCACCACACTAATGTACGTAACTACTGCACTAATGTATGTAACCACCACACTAATGTACGTAACTACTGCACTAATGAACGTAACTACTGCACTAATGTACGTAACTACTGCACTAATGAACGTAACTACTGCACTAATGTACGTAACTACTGCACTAATGTACGTAACTACTGCACTAATGTACGTAACTACTGCACTAATGTACGTAACTACTGCACTAATGAACGTAACTACCGCACTAATGTACGTAACTACTGCACTAATGAACGTAACTACTCCACTAATGTACGTAACTACTCCACTAATGTACGTAACTACTGCACTAATGTACGTAACTACTGCACCAATGTACGTAACCACCACACTAATGTACGTAACTACTGCACTAATGTACGTAACTACTGCACCAATGTACGTAACCACCACACTAATGTACGTAACTACTGCACTAATGAACGTAACTACTCTACTAATGTACGTAACTACTCCACTAATGTACGTAACTACTGCACTAATGTACGTATCTGCTCCAGTAATGTACGTAACTGCTCCCCTATTGTACGTAACTGCTCCACTATTGTACGTAACTACTCCACTAATGTACGTATCTGCTCCACTAATGTACATAACTGCTCCACTAATGTACGTAACTGCTCCACTAATGTACGTAACTGCTCCACTAATGTACGTAACTGCTCCACTAATGTACGTAACTGCTCCACTAATGTACGTAACTACTGCACTAAGTTGCAACTTTTACATCGAGTGTATATATATATATATATATATATATATATATATATATATATATATATATATATATATATATATATATATATATATATATATATATATATATATATATATTTACCTACAATTTTGATTGGTCGGAATTTACTCTCATTTGGTATTATATTTATATAATGTATATATGCAGGTACTTGATAACGTAATTATTAAATTAATTCGGCCTAATTTGTTTTCATATGCAGAGAATAGGTCACATTAACGAGGTTAATCTATTATCTCCAGATATCTGTTCCTGTGTTCTCTCCATATATCTGTTCATGTGTTCTCTCCATATATCTGTTCCTGTGTTCTCTCCATATATCTGTTCCTCTGTTCTCTCCAGATATCTGTTCCTCTGTTCTCTCCATATCTATCTATTCCCTCCCTATCTATTCGTGTCTAATTGAATGCTAATATTTTTTGCTTATCTTTTATTTACTTTTCATATTTATTTTCCTTCTCTGTCTATTATATTTATTTCGTTTCTCCTTTCACCTGATAGTGAGAGCTGCCTTGAACTCGGGTCCTCGCTCTTGACCACTGTCATGGGGCCAGATTCACGAAGCAGTTACGCAAGTACGTAAGTGCGTGCGTAACTGCTTCGTACAGTTACGAAGCACACGATGTAAACGAACATTTACGTCACGAAAGATGTACACGAACGTGTACATCTTTCTTCAATCTTTGACGGCTTTGGTTACATTTATTAAACAGTTTACAAGCATGAAAACTTGCCAATCAACTGTTGTTATTGTTATAAACAGCCTCCTGGTGCTTCGGAGCTCCTTAACTGTTTAATAATTGTAAACAAAGCCGCCAAAGATTGAGAAAAGATGGACAGGTTCGTAAGTGCTCGCGTAACTGCTTCGTGAATCTTGCCCCTGCCTTATAATGACGTCCTCCCCATTACTTACTCAGTTTCGACCTGATAATTGTCGAGGACGGACCGAAACATCGTCACTCTTCATTTCATATAACTTTAAGACCCTAAGAATCGATGAAAGTGCAGAGGCCTGTTGGCCCATACGAGGCATTAGTTCCTATTTGGGTTTGTTGATTTGCTTTAATATGATGGCGATAAAGAAGTACCTATCAGACTGGATACAGACACTCATTGGTAACATTGGAGAAATTCAACGATTCGGTCCATCCCCGCCAAACACATACCAAAACTACGACGTTGGTAAAACGTTCGAACAAGTTTTAACACCACCTAACCAGTTATAACAACCAATATAGCAAATTGTAACAACGTTCTAATACGTCATAAACACGTTAAGCCAAGATGTAACAACTTTATTACAAGTTGTAACAAGCGGAAAATAGAGACAGTTTCGGTTTGTGTTTCCAGGGATTATCAAGTCCAATACATGGCTTGGTAATGGTCCAGGACGGACCGAAACGTCGTAATTTCTACGTTTTGCAGAGTATGCAGACTCACCGTCTGTATACTGGGCCGGTGAGAGAATGGCCCCTCGACTTCAACCACGGTAAATGTAAAGTAACGAGAGTGGGAACATGGAAAAGAAGACCATAACTCTAGTCCACTTTGAAAGGAAAGTCGCTTCCGCATGCGGGTGAAGGAAAGTTTCTAGAATGAAGCAGAGTGGCAAAGTTATCTCTCAAGGCCCACAGTAACAATTGTCTTGCAGAAATCAGTAAAAGGAGTGCAATCAGAGCGCTATGTGATAAAAGATAAGGTTAGAGGAAACATGATCACGATATGTAAAATATTTCGAGGCATTGTTAAAGAGACGAAGAAACGACTATCAGTACAAGTGTAACAAGGAGACGGATTGATCCCCAGGAGGAGGTTGTTAAAACTAATGACACCCAATCGTTTCATATTAATCGATTTTAATCGATATTAATCAGGTGCGCTCAGAAGCTTTTGTATTTAACATCCGGCAGTTGACAAGGCAGTTTCCAAGAGCTAAAGCTCTGCCCTGCAGGCACAATTAGGTCAGAGCAACAGATACACGAATACATTCACGGCCGAGTGGTCACAGTTCGCGATTCATAATAAGGCAGAGTTTCATTCACCTGATGCTTCTGTTTACCTAGCTGAGAATAGCTACCTGGGAGTTACAGCTGCTACGGGCTGCGTTCTGAGGATGTTTATGTGAGAGAGAGAAATATATGTAGTTGGTCTGATAGAGAAAATAGGTTGGGAGTCAGTTCATCGGTGGTTGGAAAGTCGGGGTCCAAGAGCTAACAGCTCGATTCTGCAGGCATAAATAAGTAAACACACACACACAGAATAAGTTTGAGTGTGAGTTTCGTTCCCCTTGATGCGCCTGTTCACCTAGCAGTTAATAGGTACTTAGGGCGTAGACGGCTGCTCAGGGTTGCTTCCTGGGGATGTACTCACCTAGTTGTTCTTGCGGGGGTTGAGCTTTGGTTGTTCGGTCCCGCCTCTCAACCGGTGAAGCGGTTATTCCACCTCTTTAACACTGGAGGAACACGAACAAGGGGACACAGGTGGAAACTGAGTACCCACATGAGCCACAGAGACGTTAGAAATAACTTTTTCAGTGTCAGAGTAGTTAACAGGTGGAATGCATTAGGCAGTGATGTGGTGGAGGCTGACTCCATACACAGTTTGAAATGTAGATATGATAGAGCCCAGTAGGCTCAGGAATCTGTACACCTGTTGACTGACGGTTCAGGAGCGGGGACTAAAGAGCCAACAGCTCAACCCCCCCGCAAGCACAACTAGCTAAATACAACTAGGTAAGTACACCACGTATTTCTACCGTGTGAAAGTCTATCCAATTAAGATACTGCTTCTCTTCCTCTTGCCCCGCCCACCAGGCTCATCACTGTCACCTGTTTCTCTTCTTCTCATAACTAGTTCCCCGTCATTCCTCTCCTCCTTCCGTCTTGCTCTTTCCCCTCATTCTCTCTGTCCTCTCCCATTCTCTCTCTCTCCCTCTCCTGATCCCCCCCCCCCCTGCCGCTCTGGTTTGGACTCCTCCTCGTCCCTCAGTGCTTAAAGTTGATGATCTGATGCACAGAAACCTTCTTTCACATGTTTATTTCCTGGAAGAGTTACTTTCCTGAGCGCCAGAAGGAGGGTCACACCTCTTGACGTAGTTGATCTGTGTTTAGGACGAGACGGGCTGGTCTCTGGTCATATTATGGTTTGTGTCCAGCGGTACCTGCTGGTCTCTGGTCCTATTATGGTTTGTGTCCGGCGGTACCTGCTGGTCTCTGGTCATATTATGGCTTGTGTCCGGCGGTACCTGCTGGTCTCTGGTCATATCATACCTTGTGTCCAGCGGTGCCTGCTGGTCTCTGGTCATATTATGGTTTGTGTCCGGCGGTACCTGCTGGTCTCTGGTCCTATTATGGTTTGTGTCCGGCGGTACCTGCTGGTCTCTGGTCCTATTATGGTTTGTGTCCGGCGGTACCTGCTGGTCTCTGGTCATATCATACCTTGTGTCCAGCGGTGCCTGCTGGTCCCTGGTCATATCATACCTTGTGTCCGGCGGTACCTGCTGGTCTCTGGTCCTATTATGGTTTGTGTCTGGCGGTACCTGCTGGTCTCTGGTCATATCATATCTTGTGTCCAGCGGTGCCTGCTGGTCTCTGGTCATATTATGGTTTGTGTCCGGCGGTACCTGCTGGTCTCTGGTCATATCATACCTTGTGTCCAGCGGTGCCTGCTGGTCTCTGGTCCTATTATGGTTTGTGTCCAGCGGTACCTGCTGGTCTCTGCATGGTCCTATTATGGTTTGTGTCCGGCGGTACCTGCTGGTCTCTGGTCATATCATGCCTTGTGTCCAGCGGTGCCTGCTGGTCCCTGGTCATATCATACCTTGTGTCCAGCTAATTTCGAGCTTGATTTACGAGCATTTCCCAGCACTGTTTCGGCCTGAAGTATTTACAACCAGCCCTCTATGTGAGGGGGAACGTATGTAAATCTATCGGACACCATCACGGCAACACTTATTACGACCAGGGTTTTGTCCGTGTTATGTCCAGAGTTATGAAGGACCTTTGTCCCTATTATGGCCAAGCTTATGACCAGGTTTATGTCCGGTTACCGGTTTTAATTATAAACCCGGCTCGGGGCAAATTGATGTACGTCTGTGGGCCTTGTGAGGCGCCTGTGGTCACTCATTGACGTGTGAGGGGCCTGCGGTCACTCGCTGACTTGTGAGGGACGCCTGCGGTCACTCGCTGACTTGTGAGGGGCGCCTGGGGTCACTCGCTGACTTGTGAGGGGCGCCTGCGGTCACTCGCTGACTTGTGAGGGACGCCTGCGGTCACTCACTGACTTGTGAGGGACGCCTGCGGTCACTCGCTGACTTGTGAGGGACGCCTGCGGTCACTCACTGACTTGTGAGGGACGCCTGCGGTCACTCGCTGACTTGTGAGGGACGCCTGTGGTCACTCGCTGACTTGTGAGGGACGCCTGCGGTCACTCGCTGACTTGTGAGGGACGCCTGCGGTCACTCGCTGACTTGTGAGGGGCGCCTGGGGTCACTCGCTGACTTGTGAGGGACGCCTGCGGTCACTCGCTGACTTGTGAGGGGCGCCTGCGGTCACTCGCTGACTTGTGAGGGACGCCTGCGGTCACTCGCTGACTTGTGAGGTGTGTTTATGTGAAAAATATGTAGATTGAAGAAAAACAGGTTGGGTATCAGGACATTACACACCCGATGGTTAGAAAGGCGGGACCCAAGAACTAACAGGCTAGGTCTTGTAGGCACAAATAGTAAATACAAACACACACACGCAACTAAACACACACACACGCACACACACACACGCAACTAAATACACACACACACACACACACACACACACACACACACACACACACACACACACACACACACACACACACACACACACACACACACACACACACACACACACGCACACACGCACATGCAACTAAACACACACACACACACACTCGCAACTAAACACACACACACACACACACACACACACACACACACACACACACACACACACACACACACACACACACACACACGCACATGCAACTAAACACACACACACACACACTCGCAACTAAACACACACACACACACACACACACACACACACACACACACACACACACACACACACACACACACACACACACACACACAAAGTTGTGTGTGGCTATAACTCTCTCAAACTCATTAAAGTTGCCGCCTGGCCTGAGAAATACCGGATATTAGACTCTCACTCGCGTGTGAGAGTGAGTGAGAGTCATTCATTCCAATACGGTCCTCGGAAGGGGACGCCAGGGTTGGGTTCCGCTGAGGGTCACATAATTACCATCTTCAGGGCACGGGCGGGAAATGGCTCTGATTGATTGATTGATGAAGACCAAGAGACCCCAGAGGTGGCACGGGCATGAATAGCCCCGTAAGGAGGGCACTGAAACCTTCCTGTGGATACAATCCTCTCAACAATATCCCAGCTGTTGTTGTTGTTGTTTTAGATTCAGCTACTCGGAACAAGAAGTTGCAAGTAGCACGGGCTATGGTGATCCCGTAGTGGACTTACCTCACACAGGAGCGGGGCAAGTAGCACGGGCTATGGTGATCCCGTAGTGGACTTACCTGGCACAGGAGCGGGCCAAGTAGCACGGGCTATGGTGATCCCGTAGTGGACTTACCTGGCACAGGAGCGGGCCAAGTAGCACGGGCTATGGTGATCCCGTAGTGGACTTACCTGCCACAGGAGCGGGCCAAGTAGCACGGGCTATGGTGATCCCGTAGTGGACTTACCTGACACAGGAGCGGGCCAAGTAGCACGGGTTATGATGATCCCGTTGTGAACTTACCTGCCACAGGAGCGGGCCAAGTAGCATGGGCTATGGTGATCCCGTAGTGGACTTACCTGCCACAGGAGCGGGCCAAGTAGCACGGGCTATGGTGATCCCGTTGTGGACTTACCTGCCACAGGAGCGGGCCAAGTATCACGGGCTATGGTGATCCCGTAGTGGACTTACCTGCCACAGGAGCGGGACTGTCACTTTATATTTCCCAGCTTCTACTGCTAGGTAAACACTGGCCTCAGGTGAAAGGAAACATGCCCAATCGTTTCTGTCTCGCCCCAAGATTATATTCCGGGGATCCCTTGAGTGAGAGTTGAGAACGTAGCCCACTGTGCACCTCGGGAGCGTCAACGTTAAGGCGTCCTTAAGACTCATCAGCCTTAAGTCTTACTTGCAGTATTGAACTCGGACACCTTGACTGCCTCTCCGTACAAAATGCAACTGTTTTGCCCAACCTGCCACGCATGAAAACCTCACATCCCAATCCGAAAACGTCAATAGTTTTACTAACACGTCGTATTAGTTACGAATTGGTGGATTCCGTGCAGAATGTTACGTAATTAGGTGAAAGGACGGATTTATTCTGTTACAGACACGGACAGTCTCTATATCCGTCTGTGTGTCTGTCGTTCTCATAAATGAAACGGTAAAAAGAAACTAATAATTAGATAATCCATTAACTGGTTATAAACGGCTTGAGAAACGTCCATTATTTGTGTAATTATCGGATAAGCGATACGCTCATACTGTCTATTTTTATCCTAATTAATCTCAAAATAGATAGGGAGCGTGTATTATGCACCCCTCCCCTCCCCTCCCCCCCCCCCTCGGGGTCAGGAGCCTGTGACGTCATCACATGTAGTAAACAATTATGTACATTATTACACATGTAGGAATATTCACATAACACACGCGGGCCGGTTGTATCCACTCGGAAAGTGGAACTAAAAAAAATCCGAACCTTTTCGAACACAT